AAAAAATTCTTTGTTTAATTTAATTATTTTCCAAATTTTTAATTAAAATTATTAAAAAAAACATTTTCAAAAAAATTTATAGAAACTCGTCAAAAAAATTTAATTATTCATAAAAACTCTAAAAAAAATTTTTGGAAGCCATTTGTAGATTTATTTATGTTCAAAATCGAATAAATTTAAATTTAATAAGAAAAAAGCCGGAAATGAAATGAAATGAATTTATTAGTTCAAATGCCATTTAATTGACTCCAATAAATATTATTTGAATCAAATAAATTTTTTTTTCAGAGTATTATTTTTTAATTATCGGAATTTTTTAATTTGGAAATCAGTGAAAGGAGAAAATCAGGGAAATAGAAATTAAAATTTTTGTGAGAACATTAAATTAAAGAAACGAGTGTTTGGATTTTTTTTTTAATTTTTAATCAACTAAAGCGACATTTTCAAGGTCTGAGAAAAAAATTCTATCAAAAAGTAAAGATTAAAATGAATATTTTAATCTTTACTTTTTGATAGAATTTTTTTTTTCGTATTTTATTGAAAGATTTTTTTTTTTTTGAAATTTAGATTAAAACTGAGAATTTGGAATTTTTTGCTTCTTGAAAAAGTAAAAAAGGTGAAAAATGAAATGTCTAGAAAAATTCGTAGATTACATCACGAAACAAAAAAAATTTTCTTCATTTTTTGATAAACTTATTCTTTTGGCTATTTCCGTTTTATTACGATTTGCAGAATATTGTTTCGTTTGTATAAATAAAATATTTTTTCTTATTTCTGGAATTATTTTCTTCTACATATAATTTGTGAATATTAATTCTGTTGTATATTATATGATTATATATTCTACAAAAATAGTTTTTATCTAGTTTTCTCTCGACTCGCTTTTAAGTGCATGATAGCGTCACACTGACAAGGCAAATAAAACGTCCGGTCATGATGTAATGATATTTAAATAACGATTCGCAAAACTCAATCATCACAAAACATATATAAAATCGTGAGCATCGAACTTCATCTTTTTTCTCTTTCTTAATACATTTTCGAAAATTTATTTCAATTTTCTCTCTTTAAAAAAAAAATAATAATAATAATATTCTTTCGTCTTGAATTATTTTCTCTTCGCACCTTTGAATATTTTTTTTTTCATGCACCTAATGAGGCTTGACGAAAAGATCCGGGCAAAGTATTTTCTTTTTTTTTTAATTTTGTATTTTAAATTTTTTTACACACGACCTTATTTGAAAATAAGATCGTGAGTTTTCTCTCGTTCTCTCGATGACAAAAGAGAAGAAAAAAAAAGTGAAACTAAGAACAAAAGAAGAATGAGGAAAAAGGGGAGGAATAATAATGAGAGGGTTTTTGAGCTTTGCCCAGATCTTGGTGCTCGCAAAATTGACAATGCTCGTTTGTTTCGTAATATTCTTGAAAATTTCACATATATATATTTTTTATATATATGTACAGGGTTGCCACAGTTCAGGGAAATGAGGGAAAAATCAGGGAAAGTAGAATTTGTCAGGGAAAAGTCAGGGATTTTTTTTTTTTTAAGTACTGGAAAACATTAAATTTTTACAATTCCATAAAAAAATTATTCTTCGCAGAAATTCAATTATATTCAAAAATTTTTTTTAAATTCTCGTCAAAATTTCAATTATTTTTAGAAATAATAAAATTTATCTTTGAAATTCAATTATTTTCAATAATAAAATTTTCCAAAAGAATTCAATTATTTAAAAACAATTTTTATAAAATTTATAAATTCTAAGCAAATATTTAATTATGCTCATAAATAATAAAATTTTCACAGGAATCCAATTATTTACAAATATTTCATAAATTTCTTCGCAATAATTCAATTATTTTCATAAATAATAAAAAACTATTACAGAGATTCAATTATTTTTATAAATAATAAATTTTTTTAAAAGAATTCAATTATTTACAAATTTTTTTATAAATTTCTTCGCAATAATTCAATTATTTTCATAAATAATAAAAAACTTTTACAGAGATTCAATTATTATTTTCGTAAATAATTAAATTCTTTTTTGGAATTCAATTATTTTCATAACAATATCAATTATTTTCATAATTAATAAAATTTCTCAAAAGAAATAAATTATTTACAAAAATTTCAATTATATCATTTTTAAAGAAATTCAATTTATTTACAATAACATTTTTTTTAAAAAGAATTCGATCATTTTTTTTAATTTAATAAAAATTCTTCTGAAAAATTCAATTATTTTGAGAAATTTTAAATTCTTTATGAGAATGCAAAATATTTTTTACGTAATTTTAATTAAATTCCTGGAAAAATTTCAATTATTTTCAAAAATTTTAGTAAAATTCTTCACATAAATTCAATTGTTTTCATAAATAACAAAAATTTTTTACAGAGATTCAATTATTTTCGTAAATTATGAAATTCTTTTTTGAAATTCAATTATTTTCATAAAAATTTCAATTATTTTTATAATTAATACAATTTCTCAAAAGAAATCAATTATTTAAAAAAAATTTAATTGTAATATTTTTGAAGAAATTCAAATATTTACAATAAAATTTTTTTAAAAAAGAATTCGATCATTTTTTTAATTTAATAAAAATTCTTCTGAAAAATTCAATTATTTTGACAAATTTTAAATTCTTTATAAGAATTTAAAATATTTTTTATATAATTTTAATTAAATTCCTCGAAAAACTTGAATTATTTTCAAAAAAATTTAATAAAATTCTTGTCAAAATTTCAATTATTTTCAAATATTTTTCAAAATTCAATATCTACTATTTTTAATAAAAGAAATTCCAAGAGAATTTAATTAGTTAAAAAAAATTTTAATAAATTTCTACTAAACCATTTAATTATTTTGATAAATAATAAAATTCTTCACAGAAATTCAATTATTTGCAATTTTTTTTTTACAAATTTCTTCGCAATAATTACATTATTTTGATAAATAATAAAATTCTTGTTGGGAATTCAATTAATTTCATAATTTAAAAAAATTTATTCTTGAACTTCAATTATTTTTAAAACAATTTTAATTGAATTCCTCGATAAAAGTAAAAAATTTCATAAATAATAATATAATTTCGTAAAAATTTTATTGAAATTCGTCAAAAGAATTTAATTATTGAAAAATTATTTGATAAAAATCTTAACGAGAATACAATTTTTAAAAAAAAATATTCAATTATTCAATTATTTATTTTTATATTTAAATAATTGAATTGTCTTAGAATTTGCAAATAAAAATTGATTAAAAAATTAATTTTAGTTAAAATTTTAGATAATAATATTGAATATTCAAAGAATTATTGCGTGAATTTTTAGAAATAATTTAATTTTGAAAATTTGAATTTTTAATATTTTTAATTAATAATTCTGCAGAATTTATCTTTTTGAAAAATAATCGAAGTTTAAAAAATTTTCAGATTAAAATCTTTAAAAATCTAAAATTTTTTTATTTTTAACTAACAATTATGTAGAATTATTTTTTTTAAAAAAGTTTAATTGAATTTTTTTTTAATTATTTCAAGTTTTTTTTTCTAATATATACAATTGAAAAATTTTCGAATAATCGATGAAATTTCGTAAAATTCAATATTGTAAACAAATGGATTTGAAAATTCGCAAGAAGAACTTTTTTAAAAATTATTAAAAATAATTGATTGAAAGGAGAATTTTATTTAAAAATTCTAGAAAATAATAATTGAATTTTGGAAGACTTGCAGTTAAAATTTTCATAAAAAGTTTTTCCAAGGATTTTACATTTGAAAGTATTTCGAAATTTTAAGCAAATAAAGAACAATAAATTTTTTAATATTTATTTTACAAAAATGATTGAAAGATTTAATTTAGAAATTCCGAAAAAATTGGGTTTTTGAAAATTTGTAATTAAATTTTTTTGAAGATATACTTGAATTCTCGAAAATAATTTTAATTTTTTTTTTTAATGCTGATAGCAATTGATTTAAAAAATTTGAGTTAAAATTTTAGAAAATAATTCAATATTTGAAATTAAATTAAATTTCTTGAAAATTTAAGAGAAGCAAAAGTATAAAAATGTTTAAATTTTTATTTTAAAAAATTATTAACTACATTATTCTTCTTTAAGAATTCTTAAAGTTTTGAATAATTTAATTCAAAAATTATAAAAAAAAAAAAAAAATTGAATTTTAGAAAAGAATTACAATTGCAATTTTTAGAAATAATAATTCAATTTCAAAAGGTTTTTCATTGAAATTATATGAAATTTTAATTCCTGTCAAAAAAATAAATAAGAATAAGTTTTTAATTTTGAAGTTTTGAATAATTTAATAAAAAAATCTCGAAAAATTGCTTCTTGACTTTTTTGAGAAGGTACTTCAAATTTTGTTTAAAATAATTGTATTTTTGAAAATTAATCTAAAAAAAATTGAAACAATTGAAAATTTTGTCAAATTTCATTGAAATAAATTTTATATTTTAATGAATTTTATTTGTTTACTTTTAAAAATTATTTTGAAATATAATTGTATTTTTGAAGAATTCTAATTGCTTTGGAAAGTAATTAAATTTTAAAAAAAATTTAGAATAAACTTATTACCAGGAGTGTTACAGTGGTACTCAAAATATCCAATTATTTAATCAAAAATATCTTGCATTCAAGTTGCTGTTAGAAATTCATAAATAAATGTAATAGAATATTTTTTTCAGTATATTAGTTACTCAAAATTTTCTTAATTAATTTTTTTTTATTATTAATTTTCTTAATTTTTATTTTTAGAGAGGATCCGGGAAAAAGTGAAAATTTTGCCTAAAAAAATCAGGGAAAATTGAGAGAAAAAGTAAAATAAAATGTTTGTGGCAACCCTGATGTACAATCTCTTTCTTCTTTCTTATTTCATTCCCAATTAATTTCTCCTATTCGTGAAAACAAAATTTGTTGATTGTTATCGGGCCGTTTATACCCATAACAATACTGACTGATATCGATTCTGCTTTTTGTCCACAGAAAATGATCATGATTATGATCTGCGTCGCAGTATCTCTGGTCATATTGATCTCCATTGTAGGAGCGTTTCTTCCGTCATTCTAAATGGCCGTAGACATAGAGAGACAGGGAGAGAAAAAAATAAGAGAGAGAGAGAGAGAGAGAGAGCAATAGATAGATAGACAAATAGTTAGATAGCTAGACATGAGGGGAGAACAGAAAAATAAAAAATAAAAAAAATTACTTATACATATACAAAATATAAATAATAAAAAAATATTACACTCCGACAAAAAAAAAAAAAAAAAAAAAACAACTCAGAAAGTAGCAAATATCGTTGCAGCGAACAAAAAAAAATGAGAAAGCACTTCTGATTGGTGATACAAAACAAAAATCCGGAGGATGACGAAAAAGGAAATAAATTACACACTTTTTTCTAAAAACAAAAAAAAAGAAAAACAATAAATAGCGAAAAAATGGATGTGACGACGACTCTTCTCGTATAAAAAAAAAAAAAAATTGAGCGCGAAACGAGTCGACGCGTGGACTGAACCGTCACAAAATTCTTGTACAGGACATGAAAAAAAAATAACAAGACTTTTTTATAGTTATGCCAACAATAATTGCATATTATTAATCCAACGATAACACCAGCTTAGCACCGAACAAAAAAAAAATTAATCCAAAAGCAATACTAACCACTCATCGTGATTTATCGAAAAATAAATATATTTTCGCACTTTGTCCCTCTCAGCTGTAAGTATTCGTCACTACAATGTTTCTTTTGTTTGAAAAAAAAGCTTTCTAAATTATAACCAAAGAAAAAAAAATAGTGCAGCAAGAAAAAATTTTTTTTTTTTGTTTTCCTCTGCCATAAGTAGAGAAACAAATTCTGTGCTTTTATGTTTAATAAATGTTTTTTTATTTATTTTTTTTTTAATTTTGAAACTTGTCAAAAGTGTACTCGTATTGTTCAAGTGTCAATTGTCAATTGTAATTTGTAATTTGTAATTTGTAATTTGTAATTTGTAATTTGTAATTTGTAATTATTTATTGTCTGCTGATTAAATGGTCTTCAAATGACTTCGTTTTGTAAAGGAAATATTGGTAAATCTCTCATTGCATATTTTGTTTCCAAAAAATCAGCTTCTAAAATTATTTGGGTAATTACAGATTTTCTAAAATGAATTTTCAACTTTTTTCTTTTCTACAATTTTTTTTTTAAATAAATTTGTAATTTCTGAAATTTTTTAATTTTTTTAATAATTTTTTTTAAATGTTTTCAATTTTTCAATTAATTTATTAAAAATCAGTAAATTCTAGGCAAAGAATTTCATCAAAAAATTGAAGAATATAATTGAATTCCTTCAAAGAATTTTATTATTTATGAAAATAATTGAATTCTCGCTAAAAATTTTATTAAAATTTTTAAAAATTCTAATTAAATTCTCTTTAAGAATTTTTTTTTATAAAAAATTCAAAAAATAATTGAATTTTTCGAAAAATTTTATTAAAAATTGAAAAATAATTGAATTTTTCAAAGAATTTTATTAAAAATTAAAAAATAATTTAATTTTTCGAAGAATTTTATTAAAAATTAAAAAATAATTGAATTTTTCAAAGAATTTTATTAAATATTAAAAAATAATGGAATTTTTCAAAGAATTTGATTAAAAATTCAAAAATAATTGATTTTTTCCAAACAATTTTACTATTTATAAAAATAATTGAATTATTTCGAAGGGTTTATTAAAATTTTAGACAATAATTGAATTTTTTCGAAAAATATTATTAAAAATTTGAAAAACTAGATTCTTTCATCAAATTTTAATAAAATTCTATTAAAAATAATTGAATTTCTTCAAAGGATTTATTAAAATTATAGAAAAATTATTGAATTCCTAACAAGAGTTTTATTATTTATAAAAAATGTTTTAAATGATAAAAATAATTTGAAAATAATTGAATTTTTCCAAGGATTTATTAAAATTGTAGAAAATAATTGAATTTTTCAAAGAATTTTACTATTCATAAAAATAATTGAATTATTTCGAAGGGTTTATTAAAATTTTTAAAAATAATGGAATTTTTTCGAAAAATATTATTAAAAATTAAAAAACTGAATTCTTTCATTAAATTTTATTAAAATTCTATTAAAAATAATTGAATTTCTTCAAAGGATTTATTAAAATTATAGAAAAATAATTGAATTCCTGAGAAGAATTTTGCAATTTATAAAAATAATTGAATTGTTTCGTAGGATTTATTAAAATTTTATAAAACAATTGAATTTTTCAAGAATTTTATTAAAAATTTAAAAATAATTGAATTGTATCGAAGGATATATGGAAATTTTAGAAAATAATTGAATTATATCAAAAAATTTTACTATTTATAAAAAAAATTGATTTTTTTCGAAGGATTTCTATTTCAAAAATAATTGAATTCTCTCGAAAAATATAATTTAAAATTTTAAAAACTGAATTCATGAATTTTTATTAAAATTGTATTAAAAATAATTGAATTTTTGCGAAGAATTTTACTATTTATAAAAATAATTGAATTTCTTTAAAGGATTTGTTAAAATTATAGAAAAATAATTAAATTCCTGAGAAGAATTTTGCAATTTATAAAAATAATTGAATTGTTTGGAAGGATTTATTAAAATTTTATAAAATAGTTGAATATTTTCAAAGAATTTCATTAAAAATTCAAAAATAATTGAATTGTATCGAAGGATTTATTAAAATTTTTAAAATAATTAAATTTTTTTAAAGAAGTTTATTATTAATAAAAATAATTGGAATTTTTTTGAAAAATAGTATTAAAAATTTTAAAAACTGAATTCTTTCTTGAAATTTTATTGAAATTATATTAAAAATAATTGAAGTTTTGCAAAGAATTTTACTTTTTATAAAAATAATTAAATTGCTTCAAAGGATTTATTAAAGTTTTTAAAAAATAATTAAATTCGTGAAAAGAATTTTATTTGAAACTATTTGAATTTTTACAACAAATTTTACTGTTTAATGAAATAATTGTTTTTTTTCAAAGGATTTATTAAACTTTTTAAAAATAATTGAATTCTTTCGTGAATTTCTATTAAAATTTTCTTGGAAATAATTGAACTTTTGCAAAAAATTTTATTATATTTATAAAAATATTGAATTCTAGCGAAGAATATTATTATTCATCAAAATAATTGAATTCTTGAGAAGAATAAAGTTTATTAAAATTTTTGAAAATATAAACATTTATTATAATTAATAAATGATAAATAATAAATTAATAAATGTAATTAATGAATGAATTTTTTAAATTTTTGACTATGAAATTATTCCAAAATTTATATTTGAAAATAAAAAGTATTAAATGAAATTTAGTAAATAATAATTATATTTACATTATATTATTGTTTTCGAATAATTTTACAATTAAAAGAAATTCCCAAAAATGTATCTGAAAATTTTTTTGAGTATCTAATAATTTTTAGACTGATTCGGAATATTTTTTAGTCTCACGGAAAATTCTGCCTGGAAATCAGGGAAAAGTGAGAGAAAGAAAAAATTAAATTTTTGTGGTAAATGAAGAACAGAGTAAAGTGCTTTTTTATTCAGAAAGTTATTTCTTTTAATAAGCAAAAGAAACTTGAAGATTCCATTAAAACGACTCAAAAAACAGTTGAAGAAAATGAAATAAAATCAAAGAAAATCTTTATAAGCAAAATTTACATAATTAAGTAAATAATATTCTGAAGCAATGCGAGATTTACCAATCACTGTGATACATATTAATCGTGCAATGTTCAGCCTAAATGTTATTGAAAAAAAAAATAATAATAATAACAATAAAATGCTTTTCACTATTTTTCATCTCTAAATAGCACGACTAACGTTAAAACGCACGCTAACTATAAAACGTGTGATATTATCATGTTTCCCTTACAATTCTAACTTCTATTGTTATATATATTCGAAACTTGTGTTTGTGCCTTCAAAACTATTCTATAGTTCGCATTCAAGATTCACTGCCAATAAAGGAACAATCACTTTGGTGGAGAATCGCATATTGCTAGATATCAATTTATTCAATGTAATAATAAACGTAAAATATTCTGTCAAAACTTGAGAGAGAAATTCGAGTCTTTTTCAATAATTGTTACGATTTTTTTTTTATTTCGAATTTAAATTTTCTCATAAATTCTATTTTTATTCTTTTGTAAAAAAATATTTCGAATTTCTTGACAAATTTTTTTTAATATCTCAGTTGGACAGAATGTTTATCACTTGAAAAGATTTTCAAAACGAAAAATGACTTATTTTGATTAAAAGATAAATTATTCTGAATGAAAGAAGAAAATTTTCTGCTTTATAATTGTGTAAAACAGAATTTTCTTCTTATTCACAAAAAATTTATTTTGTGAAAATTAATTTTTTGGACATTTATTTTGAAAAAATTAATTTTTTGGGAATTTATTTTGCGAAAATTAATTTTGTGGTAATTTATTTTGTAAAAATTAATGTTCTGGGCCTTAATTTTGTAAAAATTAATTTTTTGGGAATTTCTTTTGTGAAAATTAATTTTGCTGGAATTTATTTTGAGAAAATATTAATTTTCTGGGAATTAATTTTGTGAAAATTAATTTTGTGGGAATTTATTTTGTGAAAATTAATTTTCTGGGCCTTAATTTCGTGAAAATTAATGTTTTGGGAATTTATTTTGCGAAAACTAATTTTGTTGGAATTTATTTTGAGAAAATATTAATTTTCTGGGAATTAATTTTGTGAAAATTAATTTTGTGGGAATTTATTTTGTGAAAATTAATTTTCTGGGCCTTAATTTCGTGAAAATTAATGTTTTGGGAATTTATTTTGCGAAAACTAATTTTTTTGGAATTTATTTTGTGAAAATTAATTTTCTGGGAATTAATTTTGTAGAAATTAATTTTTTTTTTGAATTTTTTAGTGAAAATTAATTTTCTGGGAATTAATTTTGTAAAAATTAATTTTTTTGGAATTTATTTTGTGAGAATTAATTTTGTTGGAATTTATTTAGTGAAAATTAATTTTCTGGAAATTTTTTGGAATTTATTTTGTGAAAATTAATTTTGTTTGAATTTATTTTGTGAAAATATTAATTTTCTAGGAATTAATTTTGTGACAATTAATTTTGTTGGAATTTATTTTGTGAAAATATTAATTTTCTGGGAATTAATTTTGTGAAAATTAATTTTGTGGGAATTTATTTTGGGAAAATTAATTTTCTGGGCCTTAATTTCGTGAAAATTAATTTTTTGGGAATTTATTTTGCGAAAACTAATTTTGTTGGAATTTATTTTGTGAAAATTAATTTTCTAAGAATTAATTTTGTAAAAATTAATTTTTTTTTTTTGAATTTTTTAGTGAAAATTAATTTTCTGGGAATTAATTTTGTAAAAATTAATTTGTTTGGAATTTATTTTATGAAAATTAATTTTCTGGGCCTTAATTTTGTGAAAATTAATTTTTTGGGAATTTATTTTGTGAAAATTAATTTTCTGGGCCTTAATTTTGTGAAAATTAATTTTGTGGTAATTTATTTTGTAAAAATTAATGTTCTGGGCCTTAATTTTGTGAAAATATTAATTTTCTGGGAATTTCTTTTGTGAAAATTAATTTTGCTGGAATTTATTTTGAGAAAATATTAATTTTCTGGGAATTAATTTTGTGAAAATTAATTTTGTGGGAATTTATTTTGTGAAAATTAATTTTCTGGGCCTTAATTTCGTGAAAATTAATGTTTTGGGAATTTATTTTGCGAAAACTAATTTTGTTGGAATTTATTTTGAGAAAATATTAATTTTCTGGGAATTAATTTTGTGAAAATTAATTTTGTGGGAATTTATTTTGTGAAAATTAATTTTCTGGGCCTTAATTTCGTGAAAATTAATGTTTTGGGAATTTATTTTGCGAAAACTAATTTTTTTGGAATTTATTTTGTGAAAATTAATTTTCTGGGAATTAATTTTGTAGAAATTAATTTTTTTTTTGAATTTTTTAGTGAAAATTAATTTTCTGGGAATTAATTTTGTAAAAATTAATTTTTTTGGAATTTATTTTGTGAGAATTAATTTTGTTGGAATTTATTTAGTGAAAATTAATTTTCTGGAAATTTTTTGGAATTTATTTTGTGAAAATTAATTTTGTTTGAATTTATTTTGTGAAAATATTAATTTTCTAGGAATTAATTTTGTGACAATTAATTTTTTTGGAATTTATTTTGTGAAAATATTAATTTTCTGGGAATTAATTTTGTGAAAATTAATTTTGTGGGAATTTATTTTGGGAAAATTAATTTTTTGGGCCTTAATTTCGTGAAAATTAATTTTTTGGGAATTTATTTTGCGAAAACTAATTTTGTTGGAATTTATTTTGTGAAAATTAATTTTCTAAGAATTAATTTTGTAAAAATTAATTTTTTTTTTTTGAATTTTTTAGTGAAAATTAATTTTCTGGGAATTAATTTTGTAAAAATTAATTTGTTTGGAATTTATTTTATGAAAATTAATTTTCTGGGCCTTAATTTTGTGAAAATTAATTTTTTGGGAATTTATTTTGTGAAAATTAATTTTCTGGGCCTTAATTTTGTGAAAATTAATTTTTTGGGAATTTATTTTTTGAAAATTAATTTTCTGGGTATTTATTTTCTGAAAATTAATTTTGTTTTGGAATTTATTTTCTGAAAATTAATTTTGTTTTGGAATTTATTTTTTGAAAATTAATTTCGTTTTGGAATTTATTTTCTGAAAATATTAATTTTTAATAAAGTCATTTTCCCGTGGAGAAAATCGGTTTAAGTGCAAGAATCAGCGAATAGAATTAAAATTAAATCGTTTTGTTTACAGAAATTGATCCTGATCGTTGTCTGCCTGACAGTGGCGGTCATCATTTTGATAATCATTTTGGTAACTAATTTGAGCTGATCTCGTGGATGGCCATCGACTCGATCCGAGACCAGTGACACAAGTGCACCTTTCCTGAGCACAAATTCATTCATCTCCCGATTTCAGTTCGTCCTTGACATCATCCCAGAGGCTCCACAATTATTATTATTAATCACCAAAAAAAAAAACACTCTCCTGGACGTGTTCAATGAGATATTCGAAAAATCCATTCCACGTCTTACGTTCTCCCCCAACAAAAAAATCAGCGATCGTCGTTATATTTTAAACAAAATTTTCTTCTTGTAAATAATGTTCTGCATTATGTCCAATAATGAAAAATGTCAAAAAAAAAAATTCGCATCCCAATCGAGAAAATGTCTCTCTCAAATGCTACTAGAGAAAAAAGAAATCAATTTTTCCTAAAATTCTTAAAAATATTCAATGTTTCTGTTTGTAAATTAATTAAATTAATTAAATTAATTATTAAATTAATTTTAATTTTATTAATTGATTAATTTATTTTTGTAAATTTTTCGGTTTAATGTTAAATAAATCAAGTTATTCAATAATTAATGTTAAAAACATAATTGAATTCAAGTTATTCACTAATTTATCGTGAAAAAATAATTGAAAAGAAAATTAATTGAATTCAAGTTATTCAATAAATTATCCTGAAAGATTAATTGAAAAAAATTACTTGAATTCATTCATTCAATTATTTATCTCGAAAAATTAATTGAATTCAAGTTATTCAATAAATTATCCTGAAAGATTAATTGAAAAAAATTACTTGAATTCATTCATTCAATTATTTATCTCGAAAAATTAATTGAATTCAAGTTATTCAATAATTTATCTTGAAAAATTAATTGACTTCAAGATATTCAATAATTTATCTTGAAAAATTAATTGAAATAAATTTCTTAAATTCAATTTATTCAATAATTTATTGAAAAATTACTTGAATTCATTCATTCAATTATTTATCTAGAAAAATTAATTGAATTCAAGTTATTCAATAATTTGTCTTGAAAATTATTTGAAAAAATTGAATTAATTGAAAAAAATTAATTATTACTTGAATTCATTCATTCAATTATTTATCTTGAATAATTAATTGAATTCAAATTATTTAATTATTTGTCTTGAAAAATTAATTGAATTCAAGTTGTTCAATAATATTTGCCTTGAAATATAAATTAAATTCAAGTTATTCAATAATTTATCTAAGAAAATGAATTGAAAAAAAATTACTTGACTTCAAGTTATTCAATAATTTTATCTCGAAAAATTAATTGAAAAGAAAATTACTTGAATTCGGTAAATTTATTTGACAAACATTTTAATTTATTAATTTTAGAAACTTGGGAACTTTTTTCTTTACTCGTTATCGAGCAATATAAATATATTTTTTCTTTTTTGTAAAAAGAAAGAAGATAAAATTTGTAAATATTTTATACATTTGAATATTTGAATTTAAAGATTCATACTTTTAGGTTTTCATGTTTCTATATTTAGAAAGTAGAACTTTGAATTTGAATAATCATTCAATTAGATACTGTGTAATTAGTACCAGTTTTTAAAATATTTCCCTGAATCACGGAATTGAGTAGCCTAAGTCGCTACGCTTATAAATTATTTCGCAAATAATTAATTACTGAAAAAATTTTTCACCTGAAGTACGTATTTAAATTTATTTTTTAAAAATTTATTTTATTTATTTCATTAACTTTATTTATTTTATTTACTTTATTTATTTTCATATTTTCATATTCTTATATTTTCAATATTGAAAAAAATTCAATTTAATTCAATTTAATATAAAAAATGATTCCTAATAAAGAATAATTCTTAATAAACAATTAATAATTATTAATTAATAATTATCATTTTAATTTAATTTCCATATTAAAATTATCGTATTTAATCAATTATATTTTCTATTAATAATTCTCTATTAATAGAAACGATTAATAAAAAAAGAGAAAAAAATAGAAAAAAATAGGAAAAAAATAAAAAAGGAATAAAAATTTACAAACCTTTTACAAACCTTCAAATATGAATCTGAAAATATTTGCAAAGGAGGAAAAAAGTAGAATTTTTTTTTTTTGTAATTAAAGAATGTCTTTTCTCTTGTAGCGATTTTTAAGATTTAATATTATTATAAAAATTTAAAATTATTATAAATTAAGGAGAGATTTTTCTCTGGTTTCACAAAGGTGGAAGATTCTTTGATGAAACGAAAGAGAGAAAAGAAAATAAAAAAAAAAAACTGATCTGCATTTTGAAAATGCATTTTAATGTCAAAGCTCTAAGTCAAGTTAAATAATACACTTTTTCAATAAGTGAATTTTACGCATTTTATTAATTGAATGAAAAATGCGTAACAGTATTTTCTGCACTATTATAAAATAATCATGTTATTGTCGTTATTAAGTTGTCGATAAAAAAAAAACAAACAAAAACAAAGGGCATATTAATGAAACATCTCTGGAGGCTACTTTATGTACATATATATATTATTTATGTTAGTAGAAAATTGTTTGTACTCTTAAAGATCATAAATAACGATCTTTGTATAGAGGGGGAAGTATCGATATCGAGTCTATAAGTGTTGTAGAAATTAGATTTGTTTTTTTTTCTAAATAAAATACAAATAAATATACGCAGTAATAAAAATAGAAAATCGTCGAAAAAAAAAAAAAAAGTTGTGACTGGAAGGGAAATTTAGACTGGCTCTTTTTCCACATTCCGTTAAATAATTTGTCACTGAGAGAGAGAGAGAGGAAGAAGCAATTTTTTTGTATTTTGCTAAGGTGCAATAATATTTCAAATTATTTTTCTTTTTTTAAAAAATTTCTTTTGAGATGGACAAATGTAGTGAAAACAAGTGAAAACAAAGAAACTAAAAAATTACTGAGAAAAAATCGAATTATTCAAAAAATTGTATTTCGAAATTTTTATTTCTGATTAATGAAACTTACGAATTATTTTGTTTCTAAACTTGCGAATTGAATTTTCATCGACGAAAATATAAAAATTTAAATTTACCGAAATATGTTTTTGCGATTCTGAAATATTAATAATTATTGAGATTCGATTTTTTATATCTCAGAGAATTTGAAAATTACGCTCGAGGTGTCTATATAAATATATAAATAAATATATTATGTTGAAAAAAAAGAAAGAGTTCGAAAAGAAAAATTTGTAAATACTATAAATAATTATAAATAAGCGTAAATTTCGTTTATAATACTTCGCAATACTCTTCGTAATAATTATCAGCACCCCAAAAATTAGTGAATAGTGACGAATAATAATATTGTTAAAAATTGAAAAAAAAACATAATATTATCATAATTTTCGAAGGGGAAACTTGACCGAGGATATGCTCTAAAAAAGAAAATCTCAAAGAATTTGAAAACAAAACGAATAATTTATTAGAAAAAGAAAACCAAAATTTGACTTTGAATTTCAGAAATAAAAATTCGAATTTTGAAAAATTTCACTGGTTAGAAGAAATAAAATAATTTTAAAAGAAAAAATATTGAAAAGAAAAAATAAGAAAAAGAAACGAAATATAAGCGAAGGAAAAAAGAGAGATAGAAAAATAGAGAAAAAAGAAATTGTGAATGTGAATTAGACGATAAGAATTAATAAATGGAAAATTGAGAAAAGAAAACTAAGAAAGGAAATAGAGTGAAAATAAAATGAAATTAAAAAAAGAGGGTGAATTAAAAATAGATTAACAAGTGAAAAAAAAGAAACTGAAAATAATTCGAAGGAATTGGAAAGCGAGAAAAAAAATTCGAAGGAATTGGAAAGAATTGGAAAAAATTGGAAGCAACTGGTAGAAACTGAAAGGAATTGGAAAAAAACTGAAGGAATTGGAAAAAACTGGAAGGAATTGAAAAAAATGGAAAAAGGAGAATAATAAAGAGGAAAATTCATTTGGACCTGAAGGGAGAATAGAAAAAAATTCAACAATACGTGGTAGAGGGTAGACAATAAAAACTACGTTCAGGAAGTATATATATATACACACAGACAATTGCTGCAAAAAATTTAATGATTCAAGAGGATAATACGAAACTCTAGGCAAAGCAGAAGATTGCTAAGACGATTTCCGAGTCGACAAAACTTTTTCAAGTAAGTATGGATATTGAGCGTAGTTCGATGTCGTGCTTCTGTACCTTTTATTTTATATATATAACTCTATATGTAAGTATACGAAGCTGCCCCAAAAAAAAAAAAAAAATTATATTTTCACTGTCGACGTTGCATTTCTTTATCGTCCTTCTCGATTTTTTTAAGTACTTTATTTTTTAAGTACAAAATTTTTTCTTTATAAATACGTAACGCTGTTATATTTTGTGATCGAAATTTACGTCCCTTCTTAGTTTTGCTATTTTTTAATCAAAATCAATTTTTACTTTAATTTTACGAATTTTTTTTTTATCATTTAGTAAATATAATAACAATTCAATTTTACCAAAATTGATTTATGAATATAAAATTATAAAAGAATATAAAATCAAATATAAATTGTATATTACAATTAAAATTATAGAAACAAAGCAGGGACGTTTTTTTGAGTCTTTTTTTCCTTTTTTCTCCGCCGCACTGGGAAATTAAAGAGAAACGAATCATTCACTTTGAAAAGAGAATAATGGTAATAATTATTTTTTAACCGTGAATTGTGATTTCTTTTTGGTAAAAAGTACTTTTTTCAAAAGCCTTTGCCTTTGAATACAAAGGTATTTTGCCAAAGGTAAAAAAAGATTTTTGCCAAAAAGAAAATTTTTTGCTAAAGGTAAAAAAAAAATGTTTTTGACAAAAAGAAAAATTTTTGCTAAAGGTAAAAAAAGAGGTTATTCCCGAAGGTAATTAAAAATATTAATTTAAAAAACGATTTCCTAGGGCGGTTGTATTCTGTAATTGTGGAAAGTCGAATCATATTTATACTTTATTAAGCGAGATGTTTTTTTTCATTGTCCTCGAGTCAACGATTATTCAAATACCTATGTATAACAATTGTGTAAATAAATGTCTTTGTTTTAGATTTTTTCAGTTACTTCTTATTCGATTTTGTTTCCGGAATTCTTTTTTTATTTTCTGTGTATTAGATTTTTTTTCTATAAAAATGTTTTTAGTTTATTCAAAAAAAATTGTTTTTAGTTTAATTCAAAAAGAATTGTTTTTAGTTTGTTCAAAAAAATTTTTTTGGTTTATTTATTTATTTACTATAATATTAATGTAGTATTGTTTAGAAACTAGTGATAAAAGACTAATGTGCAATGTTTCCTGAGAAAAATGTAAAAGCAAAAAAGAAAAAAAAAATTGTGTAGTGCAGAATTTTACTGCAAAATAGATGAGAAATTAAATTATGTGAAATAAAAGAATTTTAATTGAATTGAGAAAAATTTGTATCGAGTAAAATAATTTTTTTTTAAAAGAGAATAAAGAAAAAAAGAAAAAAATAAAATTATTCTG